AATGCTGCCTCACCTATTTTCAACACAATGTGATGTGACAGAAAAGAAAGAAAAAGTTCAGCTCTTCCCCTGCTGCTTCTAAATTTAAAATGTCCCTCATTCCTAGCATCCTAAATATTTAAAAAACAAAAAACCCAGCTAGTCAAGTTCAGAAGCTGTAAAATGAACTTTTGAACAATGTCATCACTTGTGTCTTATGAATATATATTATTTTACCCGTTGTTGTTTTTTTATTCATATAGTATACGTTTTGGTTAAGACAGCTTCTCCTCCAGGGGAAACAACATTCATCTTAACTACAGTCTTCAAGTGTGACTGTGTGCGTGCGCAAGTGGCCTAATGTACTTTCTCATAACAGTTATGTGAACTACATCATATTAGCATGACAGAGCGAGAGATGGGGTAGGGGGTGGGGCAGGGATGGGGAGTGCTCAAGACTCTTGGACCATGCAGCACTTCTTACACAGGCCTGTTTCATAATTAATGGGGACATACTTCAACACACCACTGAATAATGAAGAAGTCAGGGGCTCAGCACGGTAGTCGGATGATCGGACATGGTGACTGAATATATTTCAAGAGGGGGTTAGCTGTGTAGATAAGGACCACTACAAATACAAACATTTAAACAGCTCTTTGATAATCTGTGCATTTACTACAATGCTTGCACAGTATACAAAGCTGGTCAAAGGCTTCAGTTTCAGAACTTGTTGCCAGATGTTACGGCTTGAGTTTAGGAATAAATGGCTGTAAAACAACATCTTGTCTGTCTTGGTTTCATCCTGCTGACGTTAGTTCACTGTGGGCATTTGAAGGGATATTCAGTGCCTAACTGGGTCAAAATCACGAGGAGTGGAGACTGCTGCAATACACCACCCTGCATTGTCATCCCTGTGTAGCAGGAGCCGAGTGAGCAGCGGAGAGCTGAGCGCTGCACCGTTACAGACACTGAAAAAATGAGGTTCCCATCAGCAGAATAACAGCCCTGGTACTGTCACACCCATATATGTCCACACAGACTTGCTACAGTGCCACCAGTAGTGAATATTCTCTAGTAAGTAAGCAATGCTGAGCACCAGACTTCAACTTCTCAAAGGTTTCCTGATCTTACTGATCTGCACATTAACCTGAAAACCCTCATTCCTTATGATTTTGCTCCAGAGTATTTTTTTTTCTAACTGTGTTAGACTAGGATACTTTGTTTTTAATCAAATTGCAGTGAGATTCATCTATTCCTTAATGACCACTGGGTCTCCCTGGTCCCCAAATTAAGACCACTTGGCTGAGAGCAGAGTGATCCAATGTGAGAATAAACAGAATTGGACATATGAGAGTGGCATTTTTAGCAAGGGGTGGGGGGGGGTCAGTTACAACAACTTACCGAGGTGTCCCCGGTGCTGTTCTTCACCCTGGTATCCAGGTGGTCATGAGCCATTTCTTCCTCCGACTTGATCTGTTGCACCAGCCGCTTCGGATAGGTGACCTTGGTGTCATTGTCCCCACTGTCCAACCACCCAGCTGGGGTAAACCAGTCCCACATGCCTCCATCCTGCATTGGGCTCCTGTCCACACCTGCATGTAGTGCAACAGGGACACTCTCACCATAGGCTCATAGGTGTGCAGAGGGCTTGGCAAGGTATGGGGACACACCTGAGTCTGTCTAAAACTGGACCTGGTAGTGGTGTAGTAAGCAAAGCCAACAAAAGTAGATTTGAAAGTGATACATTTTTAACACATTGTTTTTCTGTAAAATGGTGGTTTGGTGACCTAATTTATCACACTGACCATCAGTCACTAGTATTTTCTAAGAAAGATAGTGGACATAACTAGGGTTTGATATAAACTAATGAATGCATTAATTTGTCACAGTTTATAGGCCCTATAGTAGACTGACGACCATATTGTCACCTACAGAGGGCACATATATCTTACAATCTCAGCAATCATCAATCAGGCTGTAAAATACATTGCCTTGGTGATTGACAAATCATAGTGCGTCCAGATGTGTACTGGATTAAACACCCTTGGAAATGGTTATGGGTACGTTGGATATAGGCAATGGGGCTGCGATGAAAATGTGTTGATGCAGCAAATCTACCGCATGGGAGAGCGCTTTCAGGCCAGTAGGCTGTTAGTTGGCATGGAGATCCCGCTACAATAAAATCACAAACACAAAAGTGCTGGTGCAAGGGGAAAAAATGTGGATGCAAAGGAAACGAAAAGGGTGCTCCCGCTCTTTATCCAACCCCCCTCTCTCTCTTCGCTTTCTCTCTTACCTGAGACTGCAAGCCTCTCGCCCACTGCAGCAAAGACCATGAAGCACCACACCGCCAGCATGATCTTCACATATTCCCCCGGATTACAACATCGAGAGTCGCAAAATGTCACGATGGAGGGGAGGGAAAAAGACCAAAAACAGCACCGCAGAAATGATGGCGAAGATCGAAATCTGCTAAACATCTGATGATGCGCGTCCTCTCATCTCACCCCCTCTCTAAGTATCTCTCGCCCTCTCAGCTCCGGCCAACGCCGCTACTGAGAATTTGAATTTGCACATCAGAATGATGAAAAATGAATCATAATGTAGATATATGGCGGATATGATCAATACAGGCCTTTCAGGAAGGAAATAGTGATCAACGGGCGAGTGCGCACCGCGGATGCACAGCTCCGCAAGGCTGCGCGGGTGCGTATGGGTGTATGGATGGGGTTGTATGTGTGTATAGGCTATGCGAGTCTGCGGTATGCGGAAACGAAGGGATGGGAAAGCGAACAGAAATGCGTTGGGTTTGCGGTGATGAGGACACGTGGGACCTTGGTACCCTCCCTCATCCCGAGCAGCCTCCTCCTCCCGTTGCCATGCAGCCCTGCGTAAGGGGAAGATGTGACAGCCCGCGCTGCTGAGGCGCACGGCCGCGGATGAACGCCAAAACATCCTGACAAATACAGACCTTATCGACAAGTAGCCTAATGTTCCTCACAGATAGTCTACTTTTTCTGTGGCAACCAACACAAACATTGTAAAACTTAGTTGAACTGTAAGTAAGTCCCTGTGATTCTAAATAAATATAAAAAAAAAAAAACAAATGCCATAAAAATACATTTACTCATTTACATTTATTGGGATACAATAAAAGTGGGGCTGATGTAGTATAATTTTGATCATGTGATATGTATTTGCCTTTCTGAAAACCTTTGTGATGACTGAAGAGAGGTAGATTTCTCCCTTTGATATTTACAAAACTGGTTTCCTCCTAAGGCAATGGTGTGACATTTAGCTTATCTTGGAAGCTTTCTGGGATCCACTAGCTGTAGAACAAAGTACATATATATATAATTACAAATAGCAGCATATTAGATTAACCCCATTGCTGAAAACCAGACAGGTGGCTTTAGTTCAATGAAAGTACAAAAATTGGTATATTTTGCTGACCAAAATGACCAGCCATTCATCATAAAAAATACTGTAAATATCCCTATAAGACAGTTAAAAAAATTGGTAAAATACTCCAAAGTAAACATGACAAGTGTGATGAATGAAATAAAAAATATATATCTGAAAGACATGGGTACCAACATACAATCAATTGGCTTCTTATTGGGAACAATAAATACAGATCAACTGAGCCCTGCATCGTGTTGCTCCCTCAGCCATGTTACCTGCTAGGTTATCTTCCTTGATGCAGTCCCGCATCATACTGCTAATGGAGGCACATTGTGCACTGACAACCCTCTCTAAATATTTCATCTACCCCCCTTTGAGACTAACGAGGAGTGAGAGATAGTGGGGAAGAGATGGAGGGGAGAGCAGCAGGAGGAATAAAAGTGTCAAGGCCCAAATATGTACTTGTCCCGTCCCTTCTCCCCAAAAATAAGAAGGTTGACATCAAAACAGACATCCATGCAGTACACACTGGCCTTTTTTAATCTGAATTCTAACACAACTATCAACATCTCCACTATTCCTGATAAATTGGCTGCTGATTACACACTACTGATGCAGTAAATTAAACATGAAACAGTGGAACAGCTTAACAAAAAAAGAGAACTGTGGAGTCAGGGAAGCAGGATATGGCCTGCGCTTCACTTGGATAAAAGTCCAAAACTCCATTTACAGCAGTGATTACCAAAATGTCTTTTAAGATTCTAAGACAAAGCCTTTCATCACCGAGGTTTGACATTTAGGTGGTCCTTTACATGAGAAAGTTCCGAACACAAGAAGGAAGTCTTCACCTTTTCCCTACTAAAGTCTTTATATTTAAAATTAAACAGACACAACGCAATTTGCTGCAGTGATAGGAGACACAAGGGGACTTAATCATTTCAGGTATGTGAACGTTGTACAGTCAACAGAAATGCCAGAGCAACACTACCATCTACTGTGCAAATAGCTGTATCACACTTACAGTTACAAAAAGCTGTTATTAGTTATTATCAGTCAGCCAGAGTAAGGACAAACCCGACGTCTGAGAAGAGTGTCTATCATTTTTCCCCCCACTAGGTGTAAGCTAATCCTGCTATTTTTAAGACTGGAGAATTGAGTTGTTATTTTAGTTTAGGCCTGCCTTGGTTGGATAATCGTACTATTTGGAAGAGTTCTATTATTAGGCTATAGATTTTAGCTGAAAGTCCAGTTTTTATATTGAGTTCTTATTATTTGCACTTTAAGTTTTGCATTTCATCTGTTGTTTTTTTAACAACAGATTACAGTTTATCATTGAACTAAATAAACTAGAACACTAAAAAAAAAAAAAAAAGTCTAATTCACTACCGACAGGCAACTGCAACAACTGTGACTTTGAGTAGGCTACATGTGTTGACTTGCCCGTGTTTCGCGTTTGATTGCACGCAGCTGTGCTTAGCAAGGCAATTAGGTTAATTTGTTACAGCTTTATTTCTTGAGGACTGCAAAGTGTTGAATCAGTGAACAATGCGGCGCTGCCTGACTCACCGCCTTGTGACCCGACGTTGTCAATTAACTAATTAAGTTCATTCAAGAGGTTATAATACAGGGTGACAAAAGCGGCGGCCTTTCCATAGAATATTTTCGTTGGAAAAGTGTTAAGATATCGAGGACAACATGAATGAAGTGCTCAATGCGAAATCTGCCGGCGGTCCGCCGCTGCAGCTGTTCAACTGCACACACGCGGGTTGTGGAGCGACTTTTACCAAACAGTGGAGACTGAAAGAGCATGACACTGTGCACACTGGAGAGGTAACATGCATTAACAAAGTATCTGCAAAACTACTACACACATTCTCAAAAGACACGTATGTTAACTACTTTAAAAATGCATATAAAATGCCTACTTTATTTGTTAAGCTATTATGAAATATCCACAGCGTCCGTGCCAGTGCACAATTGCAGGCTGTGAGCGTCGTTTCTCAAGAAAATCCCACCTGCGCCGCCACATGCTACAGCACAGAGGGGTGAAGCAGTTCAAGTAAGTCATAAGTAAAATTTGTACTGTTGATCCCCCTCAACCGCGACCATATTTATCTCTTCTCTCTGCAGATGCAAATTCGCCACCTGCACAAAGAGTTTCTTCGACGCAGGCAAAATGAAGAGACATGTACGCTACGCCCACGAAGATAAAAACAAGTATTTCAAGGTTTGTCTAAACGCACATATCCACGAGATGGCGCCAAAATGTCTCCTTTTGCAACAGCATCCCCTGAGTCACTGCTGTTTATGTTGAATAAACCTGTCTTAACCACGTGAATGTTTTCTCCACAGTGTAGTCAGCCGAACTGCACCATGACCTTCAAAAAGCGCAGAATGTTTAAACTGCACTTAAAGGAGCATGAAGTGGCTGCTAAATTCAAGTATGTTTGTTTGTAGTACAACATTAGGCTACTTCTCACAGAAAACATAGCATCAGTTTTGCTTGTCTGGAGTAGAGGCTCTAGCAGGAGATAAATGAGTGGTTACAGGCTGAGTGGGTGTGGCCCCAGTGACTTGGTTAAATTTATTTTTACATCTGCTTGTCCCCGGTGGGGTACTTAGGTGTTTGAAGGACGGATGCGCTGCCACGTTCGACTCCCATATCGCCCGCAAAGCCCATGAGAAGAAGCACGCAGGTTGGTCTATTTCAATCTTAGCAGGGGTCCTTTCATCTTCCATCCCTGTAAAAAATTTTGTCATTAAAAGAGGGTTATGGCTTCCTCAAAGGGAGCCAACTTGTGAGCTTTTGATTTCCTGATACTCACTGGCCTTGTTTGGTCCCTGCAGGTTACCGCTGCCCTCATGCTAACTGCCAGGTCCTTGAACACACCTGGGGGAAACTTCAGAAGCACATGGCCAAACATCCAGGTAAATATGTTGTGGTCATAGTGCAAAATTGCTTAAATCTATTCCAATTTGCTTTTTCTCACATTAAAAAAAATTTTGTAGCCACATTCACGTGCCAAGTGTGTAAGAAGGTGTTTAAGAAAGCTGACGCTCTGCGGCGGCACAAACGGATCCACGCTTCCCACAAGCCTGTGCTGGTTTGTCCCAGGGACAACTGCAAGGCCTACTTCTCTACAACCTTTAACCTGCAGCACCACATCCGCAAGGTGCATCTTGAGCTCCTCAAATTCAGATGCTCTTTCCCCGACTGCTTACGCATGTTTGCTATGCGGGTAAGTAACAGGTCTTGTGTTACTGGTCCTTTTGAGGGGATGTATTGGAATTGTTTGCTTTGCATTCAAATACTTATGAGACGTAATGTCCTGAGTTGCATCATGCAGAACTACAATCTTAAACAGTATTAATATTCCAATTGAAACAGTTTACACCAAGCAAATGTGTGAATTTTCTGACAATGGCTATAAATGTGCCAAATCCAATTTTAAAGTAATTTTTAACTTTGAATGTTAACATTTTACTGCCTTCATGTACAAAGTTTCTACTTAAGTATTACTTTATGGCTTTGTTCTGTTCCACAGGAAAGTCTGACCAGACACCAGCTTCGCCATGACCCAAGTGCCACCACTCGCAAGGTAAGTCTGATATCTGTATGCTACCACACAGCTGTGAACTGAAGTGATCTGGCCAGAAGACTATGGATTTTTAACTCTTTAGAACCTGTTGAAAGCAGACTCCTCTGTACTTCTGACCATGTCCCTGAACTGAAGGGAACGGGCAGTTTGAGAGCTGGGAATTCATGATTTTCAAATGATGGGTGGCTAAGCAAACCAGTATAGTGACATCAAACTGCAGAAACTTTCCAGTATTATTCCAAAACGTTTCTCAATTGTTTCTATGCCAACAGAAACGTCGACGGCCTAAGAAGTCCTGGCAGAAGCGTTTGGATGGACACCATCTGCCACTGGTGGAGGAAAACTTGCGTCGCCTCTTCGCCCTGCGCATGCGGATCTCCCGACGTGCTAAAGTGGAAACCAACCTCTCAGGCCTCTTCAATGAACGGAAGATCCCTCATTATGTTGACCCAGAAGTCAACCTGCGCAGTCTGTTTGGTATCAAACAGCCTCGTCCTTTAGAGAAGCCTGAAGTTGCACCAGTACAAGGTTAATTAAAAATCCATCCAGACCAGCTGTGAATTTTGATTGTTTGAACTTCCTGGAATTTGTGCAGGCTTAAGTTGGTCTATTTCATTTTTGAGAAATTATAAATTGGGTCTCTTTGAGTTTTTTAATGTAGTTGATATACATTAACATTTGAATCTCAAAGTAATTATTTGTCACTTTGACACATTGCTTAGGATGTTGAGCTTTTGAGAATTTCAAAGATTGAATTATAGTTTTTGAAGACAACAGGTCTTAATCGAAATGCATATTTTGTAAAATGATACTTGTTGACCCAATAAAATGATTTGCATGTTGATCAAAGTCCACTGTATTGCTGTTTCACCTTCATTTGTGTTTCAGTTTAGATTAAAACTGCTGGAGGTCTGCCCATCCGTAGCAGCTGCTAGAGAAGCATCATGTCCAGAACTAATGTTTTTTCAGTCATTTAATTGCAATAGACAGAGCATATCATTGTTGGTGCACTCAAACAGCCGTTCTCCTCTAGCATCAATCTTTTGTTCTTGCTTTTTGGCCCCACGTATTGGTTTGACATTTTGCTGAACATGTTGGGAGCTCATTAAATATGAACAAAAGACTGCACATGAGTAAGAGCTGAGTCACAGAAAGCATGTCACTTTGGGGGAGGATGAGACTTTGAACACAAAGTAGACAAGTGTCAGCTGTGGAATCTGTTCAACTGAGGTTAAGCTGTAATTTAGATTTTGGCCTCATTAACATTTACACTAAAGGGAATGGTATTGCTAGTGTAATTTGAGTAAATTTGGCACATCTAGATTTTCATTATCAATTATCTACTTTCTCTTGATAGTTTTGTCTAATGATGGGTTTCTGCAAATGGTTAATGTTTATGAAGGTACTATAACAAACTGTTTAATCTGAATCCTCAACAGGATAATTTTCCAACAGGGGCTTGTATTGAAGTATTGACAAGCACTACAAACTCCACGGCTACAATAAAACATACCTGACAAAGATAATGAAGCAGGATCTCCTTGTAAATCAAACTGGCTGCAGCAGATTCTACACATGTGAAACAAACAAGGCAAAGCTAGCAGCGTTTAGCAGTTAAATCCAAATATCAATGTTATGCTGAAATCTAAATACCAACAGGTGAGGATGGACCTGATATTGCAGGGAACAAAATAAACACAATGAGGAACAACAGGATGAATTAATAGTGATAGTAAGTGGTTAAAACAGTTTAAGAGAACAGTCAGAAAACTCAGATAACCCATTTACAAAACATTTTTTATAATATAAAACAGAAAAGCAGCAAATCACATTGGCAATACTTTAATGATTAATCAATTAACCAAGTAGGCTACTGTAGTTTCTAAATTTCATCATTGATTAATCAACTGATTGTTGCAGCTTTTCAGTCAACAAGCTTGTAAGAATAAGGCTAGCTGTGCCACATTTTGCTGCCATTTAGAATAGATTGATTGAAGACTTGCTGTTATGGGAAGCTGATTCTTAATAACTAGTTCTGTGTTCGCTTAGTCAGATATTACCCTGTGGAAAATTAAATATACATTTTAAAATCAAAGGCTTTCTGAAATCCTTTTTGCCCTTTTGGTTTCCTTTTAGCTTCAAGAGTGTTTCTGTCAAAATGTTCCTTTTTGTGTTAAATAATTAATTTTTTCCCAGTCCAGTGGAGCATTAAGGCAGAGTCAATTTCAAAGCTTCAGCTAAGCTCTACAGCTTGTCAATTTGAGTTCGGATGGCGTCTTCACGGCTGTGGGTTTTTTTTTTTTGCTCTGCCAAAGGTCATTCTCTTGGCTCTGCAGCCTCAGGCTACCTTCCTTCACTAGCTTCTGCTCTGCCTCCTGAGGTCCCATACATTAACCTATCCAAGCAGCAGAAGTGCAAGCTCTGTCAAACTGGAGGGGCTGCACATGGCTTCACCCATCAGAAACGCATGCCTCAACAGCTGACAGTGTGTGTTACATCCATAATTATCTTGCCTTTAGTTATATTACATTCTTTTGCAAAATGCAATGTACACAGCACAGATAAAAGCATCAGTGAAACACTGAGTGCCTCTTAAGATTGTGATGTTGCTCTGTGTTGCAAAGCTATCAAAGTCAGCACTTCTCTGCTGAGCAGGAATTTGAAAGGACGGTCTTGTTTCTATGGTGACGCAACACAGGAAACAAGGTTTTCTTAAATATTTGTTCTGTTCCTTGTCTTCTCAGTGGGGTTTTTAGAACAAATGAGACTGTGTTTGCAGGTGTTCAGCAGGTGTGGAAAGTACTTCCGTGATTAGATGTTCCTTGCTGACTACAGAGTTAAAGATAATTGTTTTCAACTGGTCCCACAAAGTTCCATAAGGATGAGGACGCTGCCTGGTGTCATGCACTGGGTTTATACCAGCAACACTATCAAAGTGAATCACATAAGTTTAACCACAACCTCACCATCTTCCTCTGGCTCTCTGGAAAGGCCATGCCAATTATCCACATAGTGAACATGACCTTTGGTGGAACATGCTGAGCTTGATTTTTGCAACATGTGAATCATCATCAATCAACAATACCATCACTGCAAAGAAGACTGGGACACTCATTCCACATTCATGATTGCCTGATTAGCTCTAGGGAAACAGGTAAAGGATTGATATTCAATAGTTGTGTTACTACTGTCAAATGCATGGAAAGAGATTTTTTCATGGCTCTAGGGAAACAGGAAGGCTTCAGTCAGTGCCAAAGCTGCAATGGGATTTGGTTGCTGATGCTGGCAGTTTATCTATAGGAATGGATAGTTTGTTTCTAAAAATAAACTGCTTCATCCACACTGACTCAGGCTGTAAAAATACGTCAAGTCTATTTACATAAATAAATCTATATATATATATATTTCCCTGGTTGTTTTGCCCACTCAAGGGCAAAAATGCACAAGTAAAACATTTGAATCACCTTGATCCTGTTGTGAATCATTTTTATCTGAATGACGACAGCTTCTCGAAAAAATTGCCTCGACCTACAGGAACAAGTACCCACTGAGTGGCTTGACGGGTAACAAAATGATTCAACTAATGCCTCAGCTACACTAAAAAACAGCACTTTTTATTTTTACAACTAATAAATAGTAACATGGGTGCTCTATCTCTGGAATACTTTTACAGATCTGCCAGGAAACAACATAGATGGTCGGTGCCTTGTGGTCTACCAACTATATATTAAAAAACATTATATTACATTCATTTGACAACAGCTAAGGCATTTTTACTCTAATTGCCAGAAAACAGATACCATCTTTAGGTTTTAGATGCCAATGCAACTCTGTTTATTTCTTGGAAAATTTGTGGTGTTTGTGTTATGTTTTGTTCACCCTTTTATCAATTAGGTGATGGCCTTTATTCCACACAATTTTCTAATTTGAGTGGTGACCCACACAGAACACGCAGGGAAACAAACAGGTGCGTCACAGAGGGAGAAAAACGTTGTTTCAGAAAATCCGGAAACAAGAAGATAAATTAAAGTAGGTTAACTATACAGCAGTCATGCCCTGATTTAGCCTGCTTCCTCCAGAATAGATGACCCAAAACCTCCTCTCCCTCCTTTTTTCTCCCTTTTCCCATGACCCTGTATAAAGAGACAGCTTTTCATTGCTGTAACACAACCACATGCCTACTAAACTGACAGGATTAACAAAATAAACGTAAGATAGGGAGCCTTTTGTACAGGTGTAAACATGCAGCTCTTTGCAAATAATGCCACATAAAGAAGCCTAAACAACTGTGTCACTAACTTGTGGGCATAAAATTCTCTAAAATTACATGGTCAGATCTGGCCATCAAGACTTTACTTTGTGAGTGGATTATAAAAAATAAAAAATCATTATAGATTTTTTAAAATGTGTTTATGTTTTCAGGCATTACCTTGAAAACAGTTTGAGTCTGGATGAGTCTTTTTATATACAGTCTATGGTCTGGATGCTAGCCTGGCCACTAATTCACAGAAAAACAAATCATGGAGCTTTCATTCGAGGTTAGCTGTCCGAAAGTGCAAGGACCGGTGGTAGAGGATGGGTTTTATGTAATTTGTAAGATAAAAAATGATGAACAAATTATGTTTTGAAATATTGTTTTAGTTGCTTTTGAAGCCATTGCTTGAAGGTTAAGAAGTTAAGTCCAATGCTGTCTCAATACGTCCCTTCCTTGGTATTTTAAGTGCAGAAGTGCGTTCACACTGACAAGTATGGCAAAATGCAGTGCACTAGTAGCACCCGGATGGTACAGTCTGCACCTTGGTGGTTCCTCCCCCTATTTTCAAACTTGTGAAAATGGTGGCCAAGGAGGCTGCAGTGGTTGCCATTGCAAAAAAACAAGTATGTTCATTATTATTCATTTTAAATAAATAAAACTGAATTGAAGTCAAATGAGCAAAAAGCCAGCAGATATTTTGGCAGGTGACAATCATGGTCAAATTTTGACGATAATGATCTGCCAGGTTACAATTCACCATTAAAAAGAAGAAGCGGTCAAATGTTGTGATCAAATGTTGCGCCAGTGTTTAATTTGAGACAACACTACCCTGTAAGTAAGTACATAGTGTAGTGTACTATATGTTAGCTGCTAGCACCACTAAGAAAATACACTGGGACTTTTGGATTGAAATTTCAGTTTTTAACCTCTGAAGCTTTTCTTACACACATGAAATATCTGAGGTCCAGTTTTATTTGAACAGTGTATTTGATCTGGTATTAACAGATACGCACTCGTCCTTCAAATTAACCCTATACCTTCAACAGTCCTCAGCTGTCTTTTGGACAAACTTATGAGTGTGCTTAAAGGAGCTATATTTAAGAATCAAGGTCTAATATGTTCAAAAATTAACTAAAATTATAAAGAGAATATGAATGAATCACAGTTATGACATTAGTCAAAACCTGCATTGTGTTGCAGAGATATCTACTGAAGTTAGCATGCTAGCCAGCTAGCCTTAGCCCGTCCCGTCTTGTCGCCGTAACCCCCACTTAGGCCTCCAGATGTGTGTCCAACCTCCCGCTGAGTCTTCGTTGTCCTGGGATTTAAAGTCCTGGTCGAAGCCACAGTGAATCACCTCAGCACTGTATTCCATAGTACAGAGCTTTCATACAAACTTGACTACACAAATTCATTTGGTTCACAAAACTGGCTATCCAGGCAGGAGATCTCAGTTCCTAGGAAACAGGAGCAGGCACAGCAGTCACCAGGATGCTGAAAGTCATCCAAAAAGGAGCAGATTGATAGTGTTTGTTTAAAGACTCCTTTGACGTTGCGTCAGAGCTGTGAATTCAGAGGACAAGCTTTTCCCTTAGTTGTACCAC